CAGAAGAAGAAACAACAGGAGCGGACTGTGAAGGATTCTTAGAAAATATAGTTAAGTTTTTCGGGAATACCAAAAAAACTAAACTACTTAGAAGTAACCTGCGGATTCTTTTAGGCCAAAAGATTTTTCGTGAATGTTCGCTTGTCGGGTACATCAACGAAACTTGATTTTATCATCGGAAAAACACAGAAACAGACCTGCTAAGCCAATCTGTTAGTGTTGATATTTTTAGAAGATTTTGTTAGTCAAGGCACAAATCACGCGAAGTTATGGCCTTGGTCACCGTGTGAATGCAGTCGAATAAATTGTGGTTTGCTGCAAGCACGTCAACCACGCATGCTCATTTGACATGGGAAGCCTGATCCATGAATTAAGGAAACCTGGTCCTGGTAGGGTGCAGCTGTCCCTGTATAGCAAAATCAGTTTATCAAAGAAATCATAAAGCGATCGCGATAAAAGACGTTTTCGACTAGCGCACGCGAAAATGGTATAGCTGCGTAAACACAATCACCAGCTCAGGTTACAGCCCGGTAGATCGGCTAACTCGGTCTGCATGCGCCCAAGTGAAAATTAAAAGTGCCACGGAACATCTTCGAAATCCATCGCCAGATGTCTCAAGTGAACACACTAAATGGCAAAACTCAGCTAGCCTTCATGAAGGAGATTTGATATCAGATTCCCATAATAGGTACAAAAGATTCCAATTTTATTGCTAGGCTGAAGCTCATTTACTCTTAATGTCACCAAATAATATAAATAATATAAATTCTTTTACACAGTGATGAGAGACGACAGGCCTGTACGAGAGATAAGTGCTTTTTAAAATTAAGGTTTTGCTTGTCGACAGCCGATTCCTGTTAATTTGCTGCGTACTTTTGGTCCTGAAATGCCATAACATGTAGCAGCTGTTGCAACTTTAAACGGAACGCTGTGAAGACGTTAACAGGTGTAAAACAATTTTCAATACTGACTTAAAGGAACGATAAAATTTCCCCGCCCCTAATACAAACATAGTATTTTAGCACCACATACAAGTGTCTGCTCAACTTTAGAAATACTTGCCTTTCGTGTCCGCAAGTTAAGACAATCATTTGAATTGACTTGTTATTTTTGCCGATTATTTCTCCGTAGCAACCACTTGCTTGTTTAGGACACGTCAGAATAAAACTCCAACTCCTTTGTTATACCTAACCAACTACATATAGTAAACATAATTACTGTAAATCAGCTATTTTCGTACTGATAAAACATCCCTGCACGTCATTTCAATTTCACCGTAATTTTCGTAGGCTGAAGCTCATTTTCTCCTGATGACACCAATATAGACTCTTTTACCCAGTGATGAGAGAAGACAGGCATGTCCCAGACATAAGTGATTATTAAAATTAAAGTTATATTTTGTCGACAACTAATTCCTGTTACTTTGAAAACACGCACTGAAATGCCATAACAAGTAACAGCTGTAACAACTTAAAACGGAACGAACTGAAACTAGTGCCACTTGCAAAACGATTTTCAATACCGAACTCAAAGAACGATGAAATTTTCCCGCCCCTAATGCAAACACGATATTTCGGCACCATGTTTACTTAACTTTCGAAATACTTGCCTTTCGTGTTCACAAGATGTTAAGTTAATACAAACATTTAACTTGTTATTTTTGCTGATGAATTCTCCATAGCAACCACTTGCTTGTTTTAGGACACGTAAGAATGAAACTCAACTCACTCGTTAACTCCCTAACCAGCTAAAAAGGAAACATAATTACTGTGAATTAACTATTTTATGGAATATTGCCGCACGACGTTTCAGTTTCACAGTAATTTTAGTAGTATGTATGTCCAAAATTATCTTGATTTCGTGTCGCACAAAAACATTAACTCGGAAATTGCGGTGTCACAGTCGGTATATTGTCTAACGAGGAAATAAAACAATGACGCCCTGTATAGTAAATTGTTTTAATATTGTGTTCTTGATAAGTGTAGTCATGAAACGAAATCTTTTATATCTAACAAATATCATACTGTTTGTGCCCTTGAATTTACAAACAAATCAAAGCTTTTCAATCCATTAACTTTCGTTTTTAATACTCCAACATAAATTGCACGTCTCAAAGACTTAAGGCTCGGTTGCGTCCCAAGGTCAACTGTTTCAAAAACAACAACAAGGCTTATCTGGTGATATTTTTTTCTCCATGCATTTACCGCAATGATATTACATTAAAGCAGGCATTCGCTAGATGACTGAAAAAACACAAAGGGATATGCTGAACAAAGCAGTGTTCACTGTAAAGTCTAATAGCAATTCAGCCTGAATTCATTGACATAATATTTAAATTTCCGTAGTATTTCTATAGATCCTTGTTTTAGTTGCATATAACGGTTTAGTTGCATATAGTTATTCCACAAAGTTTGCGTTGCAAACTGAATAAAGAATCAAATTAAGTCATCTGTAATTTTTAAGGAAACTTTTTTTTCCGTAAGCTAGAATTCATGTCTTTCCCATCTACATAAAGTACATCTAAATTTTATTTTTTTTGAAAAGGTCTCTGAATAGATGTTATTGAGCGTCGTTTGAAAACAAGGCCTTTTCACTTATCAAAAGATACTCTAACTATGTTTTGTCGCGTTAGTTACTATTAAAATTTCCCCTGAGAAATTCTAAATGGTGTAAGTTATTAAATTCACCGCCCACTTTTAAAGAAACAGACGCGATCGGCGAGATCTTGCCGAAATTGCAGAGATCTCGCCGAGATTGCTGAGATCTCGCCGAGATTGCAGAGATCTCGCCATGATGTTTGTGGGTTTCTCAAATCTCGGCGAGATTGCGTCGAGATTTTCTACATCTCGCCGAGATTGGCGAGATCTCACCGTGACGTTCGAGTCTTTCTAAATCTCGGTACGCCGGCTCGCCGAGATCTTGCCGAGATTTTGAAAGACACAAATATCTTACCGAGATTTCCTACATCTCGTCGAAATCTCGCTGAGATTTAGAAAGAAGAAGAGTCTCGCCGAGATCTCGCCAAAACTGCCAACATCTCGCCGAGAGTGGGGAGATTGTCTCGAGAATAGTTATACTTCCCAAGATCATTCCCAGAGGGAATGAGTAATTTTCTGCGTTGAAATAACCTGCTTTCTGGTTGACCGTTAACCGTCTATTTTTCAGTTCGATTTCAATGGGGGAAGCCTAAAAATGAAGTAAAGACGAGTGATCTTCTTTTTTAAGGCGACGACGAGACGCGTGCTAATCGCTTTTTAAGATAAGAGTTCTGTTGATCGTCGTGAAATTTTGGTTTGTCTTTTAGCCGTTGTGAGCAGGCTTACCTTTGAGTTACTCAGTGACCATTTCAATTTACTTGGGGATGATAACTCAATTGTCTCAAAAAAATCACTCTTCAAATTTGGCTTTGTAGAGGTAGGATTTTCTTTTTGTTTTCGTCACTTCTTGTTTGGCTTTCGATACGAAGAACTTTTTTTGTGAATTTCTGCCGTTATTTTTTTTTAAAGAGAAGGTCACTCAAAAAAACGTATATTTTTTGTCAACGCTAATTAAGACCCTGCACTAAGTTTAAACACTCATCGAAGTTTCAGCCTCTAAAGTGCAGGTTTTTCTTATGAAATTTGTCTCCAAAGAAGCCCAAAATTCGAACGTCATTGCCACCATTTTGAAAAGTACTCAGCAGCCAGGCCGCGTTTTCGTGACGTCATTCCGTCCGAGAGATTATGTCCAAATGGCTTCCGACAAGCCTTTTAACTACCACTCTGGGTTATGGCTGCTCTTGAGCTATATTATTTTGAGCCAAACATGCTCCAAACTCCGAAATGATGGTATTGAAGACAGTGAAGTGGATAATCGCTTGGAAAAATAGAATTTGCTGACCTTGTGAAGGATGCCAAGTCAGTTGCAGGTTTTTCTTCTTCCCGCCAATTTCGAGTCGGATAGAATGACGTCACATTAACACGGCCTGGCTGCCAAGATGGTTTCAAAATGGCGGCCTTGGAAGTCGCTTCTCTCGAGACGAATTTCTTCACTGAGGATGGCGGGCACTTCAGAGGCTGAAGCTTGGGTGAGTGGCTAAATTTAGTGCAAGGTATTAATTATCGTTGACAAAATATATACGTTTTTTAATATTATTTCATATACGTTTTTTCATTATACCATAAACACTGAGCAGCAGCAGAGAAAGATCTATCACCTAACGTGACAGGCATTTTCCCTTTAGGAGGGTATAACAATAAACTTTGATTTGATCTAAGATTGTATATAAATCTAGGCATAATGTTGATTAATTCTATGATATACATGGACGCCAATCCATGAATAGCTTTAAATGTTGAAATTAAGATCTTAAAATGAACACGATGTTGTACTGGTAACCAATGAAGTTCATAAAGCACGGGAGTAATATGCGAATACTTTCTTAAGTTGCACACGATGCAATTTAACTATTTGCGATTAAGGCAGGCCATACAAAAGGCCATTACAATAGTCTAAACGGCTAGTGATAAAAGCATGAATAAGCGAGATAGATACTTCTTAATTCTTCTAATATTATGTGATTGATAAAATGCAGCATTACAGATTTTAGTTACATGCGTTGACATTGACAACTTATTATCAAATCATGCACCAAGATTTCTAACGCATAAACTAAGATAAAAATCATATTCACCTACAGAGATTTTGCTCATACTTTGCCAGTTCGAAGGCCTAGGTAAGTAACTGAAGGAAATCAAGTTAGTTTTTTGAATTTTGATCACTTTCTTAGACAGCGTCCACAATTTGAAACGTAGATTTATTTCTTCGGCTAGGCCTTCCGTTCTGACTAATCCGTCACGAATTTGAAACCGCCAGCTTTTCGTTTTCGTGTGGACGGAAGACATTTTGAAAACGGTGCTTTATGAAAACAATGGCGTCACGATAATCATGTGATTTTCTTGACCGAGTTTTCTTCAAGCACAAATTCAAAATGACCGATGATTGTCGCATTTTAAATCCCTCCGGCGTAGAGTGGACGAAAAACATTTGATGCGATTTTAGAGTGAAACCTCCGTTTTCAAATTCCTCGGGCGTAGTGTACACGGGACCTTACACCACATCACTTTCACAATGACTACATTACACATTAAAAAGTAGCGCAAAATATAACAAAACGTTTGCTTACACAGCCAAAATCAAGCAAAACAATTCTGTAGATTTTTTCAATAGACCCTTTTACAGTTGTCTGCTTAGTGACCTGGCCTCTGAATGGCAGCCAGGCTGGAGGTGACCTTGTTTTGATAGAGACCTTACTG